ATATTATAAAGCAGGCCTTGGCTTAGGATCAACGCATGAGAAAGGCACACGTATTCCAGAAAGTTGCGTTATACCGCCACTATTACAGCCGCGGAGAAGAAGAACACTTCCTTTTTTCTTCTCCTACCAGAAGAGAGACATCAACGGGTCCAATCTACGTATTTTTTAAACCGTTCATAGGTCACTGCTGATCGTTGTTCAGTGTTCGCGATTTTTTAAGTATAGCGTTACGGGTGATATTTTAAATATGAGCTATTGCATGCATTGCCGTCAAAGCTTGTTTACCCAACAGAGAGTCAGGCATGGTAATTCGGCGCCACAAGTTCGACAGTTTGAGTGCCACTCCCACACATGAGGTGGGGTTGTTTTGGTAGCATAGAAATTGGTTTACATTCCATGTGATCATATGCGGTGCCGTCGAACGTAAGATCCGTCTTAACACAGAACCCTAGGCTCTAAAGGAGTTGAGTTTAACAGCTGTGCTCTGCCATTTCACATCATTTGCTTTCGATGAATTTTTCGATGGTGTCGACAGCAAGGTCATAGGGAACAGCGGAATGAGGAAAATGAAAGCAAAAGGTAGGAGACGTGCCTCTTTCTATTGTTTCCGCTGATTTAGGCACGACAGTTAGTTTGTCAAAGCAGTCTTTGGACATGAATGTCCTTCTCCGTTGGATGCAGAGCTAAATGTCCTTTCGAGTTTTACGGTATTCTTTCCGACCTCGCGTAGTCAGGATGTCCTTGACACGTCATATCGTGGTTGTTAACATATTATTTAGGAGGTTTGGCAGATTTGCATAATTTAAGTTGACGCAATTGTGAAAAAACTCGCGGCGTTCGGAGGGATTTGAACCAGCATAGTAGAGAAGGCCTTTACGCAAAGCCAATGTTCTCCCAGTTGAGCTACAAACGCCACACATGGCCCGTGAATTTAATCACACTTGAATAGTGTTAACATAGTGTTCAAACGTCTTTTACTGGGGTTTTATTTCTATTGACTACGGTAGGATTAAGTCCTTGGATCCAATAACCGTAATCAATAAATATTAGGTTATTTATGTTAATTTAACAACTGATCGCATGCTAACAGAAATATTATAGGTGCCAGGAGAGGGGAACAGGAATCCCGTAGGACAGCGTGACTTTACCTCAAATTATATGATACTGAACAGAGAGAGACAGCGAGAAGTATCTCGGATTACAACGTTACGCCGCTTGTATTACATCAGTGTAAGTTGAAGCGGTTCTATTATTTCCTTTTCCTACCAGGAGGGGGATGTCAACGGTCACAACCTACGTACTTTTTAAACTGCTCATGGGTCAGTACTTATCGTCCTTTACTTCTCAAGATTTTGTAGACATACCGCTCAGGGTGATATTATAAATCTCAGCAATGGCATACACAGCCACCACAACTTGTTTACAAAACAGAGAGTCACGAATGTTATTTCGGCGCCACAACTTCGAAAGTTTGCTTATCACGCCCACACCAACGGCGGGGGGTTTGTACGGTAGATAAACTTCCGATTGACACAAGGGGTAGCTTCTGTGTCAGGATGTTAATCCGCTTGGCACTTACGAAATGTTTTTCACTCTGAATGCGTGGACGGTGGAATTCATTTACATGGCTTTACAGTTTGGTAGACGTAGAAGGCTGTGCGAAAACAGCGGTATCTAATCAGAGGCTGGATTTCACCTGCAGTCTAACAGTGTCTTCTTTTTGAACTCCTTAAAAACATACGTTTGCCTACGCAAACCGATTCGGTAGCTGTATGTGCGGTTGCGTTTAATGATTACATGATAAAATTGCTTCCGTAACATCTAAAACATCGCGAAGTATCTACCAAGAAATGCCAAATCATAGTCTAAATTACATGGCAGAGAAGAGAATTGGCATGACATAGTAACATTCCTGTTTTGAGTTAAGTTTCCTTTCCACATAATTACAAAACGACTCGCCATTATCCCCCTTGTATTCCACATATGTAGATCTGCCTTTTTATCACAGGGTGCACACCTCCCTCGTTTTAGCATCAAAACACTGTCAATCCTCTTTGACAGCGGTATCGGACGAGGTTATCCAACGGTGAAGTTTGCGTAGGGAGTGCGACGCGCGCACGAATCAGATTATAGTGACTGAGGACTTTCACTGCATCAATCAAACTCACACCATCACCCACACGTGAGCCAGGTGTCATGACCACCCCAAGGCGAGCGAAGCCGCTCCTAGGCTTGTTGCTGATGGTAATTTTTGCAATAAAACGGAGAAACGTGTTCGTGCGTTTGGTTTACAAGGGCGTTACATATGCCGGTTCAACTATCGCAGACAGGGTTTCTGCCAAAGTATCTGAAATCTTTGAAAGCTAATTATATTTAAAGATAGTAAGACACGTAATGAAGTAGACTGTCTGGCTGGGTCTTATCTTTCTTCTCCGTGCACATGAGACCCGACTGCATACGCGTGTTTAGAAAACCCCGTATTTACATATTTGCTTGCGTACAGTGGACCATCTATCTAATGAGACGTGAGGATTTTTACAAGAAAATCCCTATTACACAAATGGTACTCCCGTTGCGTCCCCCAAAATCTTATAGCAATAGACTAATGATTGTTCTCCAAAATAAGGGAAATTTTCATTCATCAAGTTAGAAATGGGGGCTGTTTGAGAAATGCAATAATTTCCGAAAAGCGCAAATCGGGTATACTAGGTAAATTTATTTTTGGTAAGATTATATCGTGGGGTCGTATGGACAAAGTGTGAAGCGCGCCC